AATTACGTTTTTTGAGTTGTCACTGCACAATTCTTTAGCATTGGCGATATACCTATATTATATTATAACACCAGAGTATTACGTTCAGATTTCTCGTACAGCGCCTATTATAGGTATTATATAATAATAATCGCAGTACTATTTTTTTAATATGACGCGGTAGCTCTTCCGTCTCTCCAAGTATTAGATTTATTACCTCGGAAACGACTTTAAAGCGCATGTCGCGTGTTGGCTGATAGCTACTATACACCTCTACATATTATACACAGGGTGAATCTTTTAAACCACGGCAAACTAGGGAATATCTCAGAAAATGATAAAATATTTTTATATTTTAAGTACGAAAACCCATATATGGCAGATAACCACAGAAAAATGTGAAATAGTTTATTTTAAACCATAAATAGCTTAAATATTAATCCTTAGAGATCGCCTAGTTCACTAGAAAAAAATCGCCCTATAATTTTAATATTCAGTACGGATTTGGCAAATGCGTCGAAGAATACAGTCACAAAAGAACGGCGAAAAAGTAATCTGTTTTTTTTCTACCGTTGTACACACTCATTAAATTATGACACTCATAAATTTCCAGTGATTTACTTCCTGCTTCTTATTATTCAATTATATTTTATTCGTTGCCTACTATAATAGTAATCTAAAGTCACCCAATAGTCATATTTTTGACGTGGGTTATAAAATAAATCGTATTAGTTTTTATTTTATTTAAACGTTTTAGACTGCAGAGCAGAGTTTGTACCAGTGCCGGATTTAACCATTGTGCCGCTTTTAGCACTAAATAATTTTCCGCCTTTTAATATAAATATTTTTCTAGTCTAAAAAATGTTATTGAAGCATACAATTATAGTTTTTTATTTTTACTTAAAATTTTGATGATGAACAATAAAAACATACAACTCTACGATTATGAAATTGGAAAACATAAAATATAAATATTATCCCAATCCCGTTGGCCTAAAAACATTTTATAATTAGTTTCATTTTATTTTAGTTCTAGTTCCAGTAGTAAAAATGTAATATTAAAAATTATTTGCCACCTTCGAGAAATTGCCGCCCTAAGCACTAGCTTATAGTTTTTACTGGGAAATACGGCACTGGTTTGTACGTTATTCGGTGTATCAAATCTGTGTGGTAAAAAGTAACAGCATTGATTATAAATTATAAATAATACATAAACAAACAACAGAAATGACAGTACCTATTTATAAAGACTTAACTCAACATAGGTTATGTAGCTATATGGGTGCATACAAGTAGGGTGCATAAGGATGGATACTGGCATACTGCATAAGTATCTACATAAAATATGTAATATATATCATAAGCCATCAAATCATAGGTCATACAATATGGGTTTACTGGTTTCAGAGACTTAAATTATTTATTAATATTATTTGCCATTTAAAATATTACAGATGGAAATGGTTAGTATAACAAAGGCGACACAGTTTTTATTTATTTTATGTAAAACACGGACACCGGGTCTCAGTGTGTGTATTTTATTTCAGTGCCGGGTTCGTAGTAGGTCAGCTAAAATTCATCGTTGAAAGTAACTAAAAATTGTAAAAATCATTTGTAATACAATGTTTTTTGTATAACTTTTGAATATTTGTTTTCTGTTTCTGTCAAACGATAATCTTTTTTGAAATAGTCTGGATTCTTCTAACTTCTAAATGCCCTTCTACTACCTAACCTACTACCTAATCTAACCTTTCTATTTAAGTTTCTTGTAGTTAATGTAAACTGTTTATAATTCTATACATCATAACGTCTTATATTTTATTTATAGCCTACTTTTATCTAATGACACTTGATACAGTCATATTATTATCGTTGTGATTAGATATAAAATTGTTTTAATAATTTATTTTTTTCGTTTAAAAGTTTAATATTCTGCAAAGGGGAACGAAAACTCTATTTGCTCTATTAGCAATCAACGGTATCAAACATCTTGGGTAGAAAATCGTTTTAACATCACTTCATCGTTATGCATATTATATACATTATGTGAGTACAGTTTCGAAATCACAATAGCATTGAGAGGTTCCAGTGCTAAACCCACGCAGAGGAGTAGACAAATTATTGGCACGAAGCCGGTCATGGCTTATTGAAAATTAACCTCCCAAATATAAGACGATAAGTGATATCAATATTATGTTTACAATGTACATTATAAAATTTATAGGTACATCATATTATTATTATTATTATTTTAACTTAGGTATATCTAAAGGTGGTCGACAACGAGTTTACATAATATTATTTCAGACCACTGAGAGCCGGTGAAATGTATAGCTGTGAATTTCGGAAATCGCGAAATAGACTGCTTGAGCGGGGCTGTATGTGGAAACAATATAAATATGTGCACACAAAATACGGAAACGCCTGCATCCGGTGCCACAAGGTTTGGCGACGACACGGCATCGTTAGATGCCAATGTTGAGACATACGAAATTATATTGTACGTCTCGTTTTTTAATTGTCTATATCGTACACGCAGTGGCATACCCACAATTGTTCAATGTAGCCCGGGGGGGGGGGGGGTGTAAACAAAGTAAATCAGGATTTGAAGTCAGTTACCTTATACTATCTCGGACGGTGGTAAAAAGACTTGCAATGAGTCAGATTCACTGATTGAGATTACCGCGATTACCGGCTCTCTCAGTATATTTATTATGATGTGTCATGAGCGAGGAATAAGAACTTGTTTAAGTTTATTGCCCACTTTAAGTCAAGTGGTTCATCTAAAAATAATATAACAGGCATTCTTTAATAATATTTTTGAATCGTTTTGTAAGCTGCTATATAATATGTTCATTGTTGTTAATTTTAATATTTTATCTACTTTGCGCACCTATATATTTGTCACTGTTTACAATGTCCGGACAATTTAGGCATTTTTCTACCTTGGTCGCACCCACTAAAATTGGACACTGTTTTAGTTATTTTTGTTCCTCCGATTTCCTACTTCACCTGTAACATAATATTATAATGTGAACCACGTTCGCCGACATGGTTGAGTTGGTTCACATTACTCGCAAATGGGTAACCGCACTTGGTATAGGTCTTCATAAGGGAAACGGCAGTCGAGGCTACCGACTGTAGTAAGTTGTTCTCTACGGCCAGTTCTCTAAAATTTCTCTGAGACTGACCAATGGAAAATATTATAATATTGTATACGGTAGATATTCGCGAGCTTGTAACCGCTACAATTTCCTCGTTGTTTCGGTTATAGTCAGTGTGAGACTGAGAGAAAAACGCGATAGTCGCCGGCTTCTTTCTCCACTTAATCATCCGAAAAATTCTCAATCGTACAACGATCAAATCGTTTTCGAAAGAGGTGTCGTTGGCGAACGCGTAAGGTCATCTCTGCAAAACGAATCTATAGAATTATTTTTGCGATTCTCATCACTTCTGGTCCGTGTCACGCGTTATTGGAACATTAATAGTCGATAAGGGTGGTTAGTCGGGGTTCACTATACCAGCTTACTGTTGCACACATCCGTAGGTCCCTCAGGTTTTTCATACGATGACCATTCTACGACCGTTATTCACGATATTTATTGTAGTTGTGCATAGTGCATAGATGTAATAGTGTAGAGTGCCCATAAACTGCATAGGTTTGCAAAATCCAAATAATAAACGTTAAATAATCCACTAAAGGCCTTATAATTATTGTATGAACCTAAATACACATAAATGTATAACGATCATAATCATAATGTTTAATAATTGCAATGTTACAGGAATAATCGTCGATAACTATTTAGTTTTTAATTACTCAATTTTTCCTGACATAGTTTTAAATCTTATGTTCTAAATTATTATCTATTTTTGTTTTAAATGTGTACAGTAAAATTCCGAGGCCTTAGTATGTAACTCTGTGGCCTTTCGCGGAGGTCCGTTTCCCGCTCGTGTAATATAATATTATAAGATAATATGTTTACAACGTAAGATTAGACATAATATATGAATATAATACTTAGATATTATGTCATATATTTTCAAAACATATATTGTTAGTTTTTTTGTGTAAAAAACCCACCGCTACCTATAGTAAAACACGACGTTTAATTAGGACATCATTATCGAATTCGATAATAATACATGTGGCGGTAATAGTATAGGTACACTCACCCTTGGCGGTTGGGTCAATCAAAACAAATATCGCCTATACTCAATGTGCGAGTGAAGTATTTATATAGGTATCATATGCAGAGTTATGACATATATGTGAGTTAACGTATTAACACGTGAGTTAACGTATTAACACGTGAGTTAACGTATTAACACGTGAGTTAACGTACATGGCGTGCACCGGTGTGCCGTAGTGTACCTTACCAATATTATATAATATGATATACTTACCGCGTGCAGCAACACGGGTAGGTATGCAGTTTTTTATTATTATTTTAACATGTTTTTCGTTTATATCGTATGTCCTATCTGCACCGCCGTCGTCGCGGTGATATATTATATTACCAGGGTATAGAAATCTGTTAGCACGTGCGTTATACATGCATACGAAATGACTGTTTTACAAACGAGTTGTGGAAGTTGTGCGCGTAGGCAAATGAAAAAAAAAAATATTAATATTTCCTATACGCCTATGGATACTATAATGTTATAATATATTTCGTTATGATGTGTTACATACAGTGTGATCTGTTTAACCGTACGATTATACCAATATTCTCAGTGAACGGACAGAGAAGAAACATTTTATTATAATTTTTCTCCTAGTATAGGTACCCGCGTGCAGCGGTTTTCGAGGGTCTATGCTTTTTTTTTGTTTCGAAAAAGTTAACCTGCTATTTTATCGTTTTGATCATATTTTGTATACTAAATAGATATTTAAAAAATAAAAAACGGTCTCCAAAAAGTCGACTCTGAAAATTCTCCGTTGCTATGTTTTATAAACCGATCGCTCTGTATATAGAATATTATATCACATTATCATGTAGGTATCGTGTTTGACTTACGTTCGCACAAGGTACGTCAGCGACCAGCTGCTTCGCCACGCCACGTCCCAGGGCGTCGCGTTTCCTCTGCGCGCTGAACAGCCTCAACTCTTTGCGTTCTTCGTCCGACAGCCCCCGACAGTACCGCACCTCGTTGTCGTGTGGCGGCAACTGTTGCAGGAGCTGCCTTACCCGGTACCGCTCGCCCGCCGAGTTCAGGTACGGCACTTTGTCTTCGGGCACTCCTGAGAAGAACAAGTGCACCTGGAAGAGCAAACGAAAACAAAAAACCAACCATTAGCGCATAATATATAATATGTATTGCAAATCAAGCACGACATTGAATTAGTAATATTATGGACTCTAATAATAATCTTTACTCGCGGAAATGAAATTCAAATTTCAATTTCTTTTTATATATTATGTTATACTTCCCTCAGACATTCAAGGTTATTATAGTTATATACTTAAGCGCAAAGACGACAATACGAGTGAAAGCATTATTATACACAGCATAATATTTTATGTACTATTAATGTTATACACCTGTTGGGCACTGTAAACACTGGCGAGTGTTTCACATAATATTGTCATGCCTATTGCAGACTGCGGTTTTCATGCATTTTTTTAATCACGGTTTAGTAAATTTCCCCTTAGGAACTAAATGTGACTAAATTCTATTTTACAATTAATATTACACAATACACTATGTAATGTGTATGATTTATATGATTAAAATTATTTGATCTTATTTAACATTTAAGATTATCGATATTTGAATTTTTTAGGGGTAAAAAAAAAGAATAAAACCATTTTTTTTGGGTGGTTATCCTCCTCAATAGTATTACAAAAAAGGTAAAACGTCCGCAATTTATTGTGTTGCACCCACAAAAGCATCGATTTTAAATTTTACGACAAGTAATATTTGTCATTGTTTTTCATGTTATTCGTCAACAACAAATATGACTGAAATAAAAACCGAGATAACATTTTATTTAACGTTACGGGTACCTATATACCTCATATATAAGAACGTACCTATACATATTCATATGTGCGGTGCCATGGGTTTATTTATTTAGTTTCCCTATTTACCTTTGGGTTGTTGACAAATGTATATTTTCAAATTTCCAAAGTAAAAGTAAAACGAAAAAAAAAAAATAAAAAAATACGCTGTGTTCCAAAATGTATGACGTTAACATTCCTAACCAATCACAATGGGCTGTAAAATATTATATTTTCTGAATTTTGCCATTATAACCGTACATTTTTGTAAGGGACGTAGCTTTTGCGGCACGTTTAATTAAATTTCGAGCACTTTTTGGTATTCGGAACTCGAATGCGCATTAATTAAATATCCTAAACATAATTGAAAACAAATATATACATATATACATATTATATAGGTAGGTATTTATACATTTATAAATATGTTATGTATACATTTACGCATAACTAAGTGAATTAAATGTACCCAAATGAAATCATAAAAAATGTGTTGTATTATTCGGGACCGCGGAATAACGAATGTATTTAGGAGAACGTTTCAGCAATGCGTAATAATAATTTATGGGTAAACATTTCATTGGCATTGCGAAAATGCGAACAGTGTACGACGCTGGCCTAACCCACATAATATATTATTATTTATATATATTAGTAAAGGTATGCAATAAAATTCCGTCGTTATACAATAATTGTTCAAGTGCATTAAAAACCGGTGGGTTTAAATCGAATTATCGATCTAGAAGGACGCGCGTACCTACACTACTCAGCGCCACAGTCGAGTAGTACACCTATACGTTATAAATTATCGTCAAAAATTTACAGCCTCCGGAGATGTCCAATTAACTATAAAAATTCTCGCCAACATTATAATATACACATACAAACACTTTCAACCCGGTTAATTCACATTAATAAATTTATGATTAGCTGAAGAGTGTGCATATGCAAAGGTTTGTCGGGATTTCATTACTAGCCTCCAGAGCTGTGTACGGTTTCCGATCTGATCAACAGGTGGGCGTGATTTGTTTAGGACGTTTTATTAATTTGAACGCACGGGCGTTGTTATTAAACAGTGATCGTTTTGAATACGATTATCATTAATCATCGTGCGCGACAATACAATTTTGGTGTTATGCACACTGATTTATACACACAGAGAGATCCGTGTAATACCTGTATTACGAGTAAATTATTATACTACATATATAATAATATATATCATGTATGATTTGGAAAGAAAAATAAAATTATAATAATAACGACCGACGACAATAAAACTATTTGCTATTCGGTTCACGTTTACGAATCACCTCAGAGGCGGTACGCGAACCCGAAACGGTCTAGATAAAAATGAAAGACAAAATCCTAATAACGTACAGCTATACATTATTAGAATATAAGATTATGTATAATATTGTATATTGCAGTGGGGATATCCCGGTCGAAGTTTTCTAATTTTCACCTGCGCACATAGGGATGTAAGAATGTCTAGCATACGTAATTTTGTCGCCCGCTCCGGGAAATCACGCCAGTTCGGGGGAATATGCATAACTTTACGTACATCCTACACCGCACTATTATTATAGTAAGTAAACGATATATACCCTTTAAGCGCCACTCGACGATTTTAATCATAATTAATAATATTCATTTTTCACTAGGTGTATCGTATATATTATTATATTATTATTAATCTTATTATTATTTATTGAATCAAATTAACCAACGGTGGTATGTATGCGCGATCGTGTCGTTCTATCTAAGAGGAAATAATTTTCAAAACGTTTTATTTTTGAGACGTCGTCATACCAGTAGGTATACGGTACACACAGTATCCACCATATCGTCTTAACATCGATTAAATAGCAATAGGTATGTATACTGCAATAATGGTTGAATAATTTGGCCATCGATTACGCAATGGGACGTAAGACTAGGAGAAAAAGCGATTGCGCCCGTTTTCGCATAGATAGGTAGAACGAGAGGCGTACGATATGTGTGGTGAGAGAAGGGCAAGAGCGGCACTTCTTGCTACGCCCCCCCCTCCCCCAATGAAGTTTTGGCAGGGGCGAGCGTATACCGTTCTGTTGGATACATCGGTAGGCATCACAGTATATTGTACGATATTATTGTTATTTATTATGATGTAGACACACAATAATAATTATTATAATATATGCTATCGAGCCGTACACACGTCATTTAACGTCACCCGTCGACGCGATTCGAACAAATCTGTTTCGACGGATACGGAATAAGGATAACCACGTACCCACATTAAGCGCCCGCTGTATCCGCGCGGCGGCGGAGTGAGTTAGCGCAATAATAATAATAATAATAATAATAATAATAATAATATAATAGTCATAGATGTATTATAGGCATTATAATTTACAATGTATTATATTATTGTAATAATGTGTCGCCCGTGGTAGACGACGCGTTTGTTAATAATACAATGGGACGTCGTAATTACTCGGACGGTAATTTATGGACGTTTGTCCGGGCGTCGGCATACCTTCGGTTGTACGCGTATCGGCAGGAGCGTGCTATATATATATTAACGCCGCGCGCGTGGAGTCCTGCCGATCGGACGTGCGACAAATGATATTCGCCGAGCAATAATAATAATAATAATAATAATAATATATTACTGTGTGTAATATACATGCAGGACCTCGACGTCAATGCGGCGTACATAAACGTGTACAGGGTGATTCGCCAGCAACCGTGTTCACCGGCCGCCCGGTGTTTTCCTTTAATATGTTCAAAATCTCATTTTTTCCTACTTCCCCCCTTTATAGTGGTTAATTATTCAGCGGTCAATTTTTTCGAACATTTTTCAGTACCTAAAATTCAAAATTCGAACTAGTAGTTTTTCAATTTATCATTAAAATGTTTATGATAACGATAATAGACTTTAAAACCGGTTTTACAGAAATACAACATATAATATGTGATTTTAAACTTATCTTGCTAACCTTTTTTTGGAATTCTGAATGTTCATATATTAATATTAATTGCTAGAATTTTTAAAATCAGAATAACCTCTATATCTTCCCAATCAATTACATGTGTTGAGTGTGAATGTGATGGACCTATATTATCCTCAGTACACAAACTCAAATAACTCAAAATTACTCGTTCGAATTTTGACTTTGGTACTTCAACATTTTCAGAATCTTCATCCGCAAAAAGTTTGCAGCAGAACAATGGGGTGGTTCTCATTCATGAAAAACATACATTTGTAACACTTCAGGACGCTATCCTTGAGCAGTAGAAAAAAATCTCAATCATTTTAAAGCATCGTCTTCGAGTAGGTAGGTTTTATTTAAAACTTTAAAATCAGGTTTTGAATAATTGCATCGTTGAAGATGCAGGACAGGATGTGAATATGCTTGGTGAATCACCCTGTATATGTGTACAGACGGTGATAAAGGACGAAACGACCGCGAAAACCGACGTGCAGGATCGAGATTGCGAGCACACGTATATAGGTATTGGCGGATTGATGGTTGGGGCGGGGTGGTTTTGAACGGAGGGAACGTGATAAATCGCCCTGGGAATTGACACGAGTCCGTCGAAAACACGCATAATGTAGTGTATATATAGTGCGTAGGTAAATAAATTCACTTCATCGTGTTAAGCCTATATACGTATATTGTGTATAGTAAATATATATATTATATTTTGTACTGCAGTGCAATAAATGTGATATATTATAATATTATAATCGGTGGCATGTATTTAAGCAGTTTAACAATGATATACGCTGCTATAATATACCTGCAAATAGTATAATTATTTCATATTTGCTATCTAAAAATGATATGGACGAAAGTCATTTTAAAATTACAAAAAAGAAACCGATACGAACGGCGTTTTGGCGATCGGATTTTTTTGTTCTCTGCAGGTCTCGGACGGTCGTCCGGAGTCTTGAGATCTTTGAGGGTCGTTTCTCCAATGTCATAATACATATTTTGTTGAAAAAGCAATCGTATATTGTCAGCGGTTTTTATAGCCGAGGTAGAATCTGCTAGCAGGTCATATCCAGCTTTTTAAGATTTTACGTTTTTATGCTCGTCTATGGTAAGTAAGGTTGGTATTTAGGTATACCTATACCTATTGCGGAGTAACTCTTGTTCGTTTACCCATCCGGACGTAAGTCGGTCGGCCGACCGCGCGTAACTTTACGGGAAAAACAGAGAATAAACGTTTATGTGGCAGCAGTATTATAATATTATTCGAGGTGTACA